AACAAGCCCGAAGCTCCTCGACACAAGCCCTTTATTAATAAGCACAAACAGCAATGATGACGTGGAGTAACCCATAACCACTGATCAGATTTAGGTTTATTGAAGTCAGATTAAAATAAGATAGATTCTGATTAGCCGGTACCTAGGGATGCATCAATACCGTTTTTTCAGTATCGAGTGGCATGGAGACAGCTTCCTGGGCAATCAGGAAGCCGAGCAGCGGGTAACGACATGCTGCCCGGCTTTCTGATTGCCCAGGAAGCCGGCTCCATATTGTTCGGGAAACCGGCTACCCAGCCGATCAGCATTGAGCCGGCTTCCTGGCCAATCAGGAAGCCAGGGGGCGAGTAATGACCCACTTTTAGAAACAAGAGTAATGACCCACCTCTCGGCTTCCTGACTGGCCGAGAAGTTGGCTTCATGCTGATTGGCCGGGAAGCTGGCTTCCCAGCAAAGCGGCAAGGAGTACTAGTATCGGTATCAGTGCATCCCTACAGATAAGGGTTGCTGTACCTTGCCCATTGTTTACTAGCTTGATGAACAAAGTTGAAGATGTTTTACTTCTTATCCGAAAGTAGAGGTTATCTAGATAAATGTTTTACAGAAAACTGCACCACCATACCTTAATTTCCTATCATGACGACTTTTTCCATGCTGTCTGGAGCGCTCTTTTCCTTGGTATTCTATGCAGAAAAGCTCCCAGTAGCAAGAACAATAAAATCCCAGTAAAAAAAAACAAAACAAAAAACACCTTTTTCTAAATGTATAAACAGCATTTTTTAACTTTACACCTTGTTTTCTGTTTCTGAATTTCAATGCACAAATCATTTCAGGATACAAAAAACACCATTACACAAATCCCAACATGCATTATAAAGCTGATTATTAGTACACAATAACAGGTTAACACCCCAAATATAAAAAATATACTGAGCCACTATCACGCAGTGAAACATAAAATTATCGGCCTGTAAACTATTTTGTTCTTCGGCAGGAAGGTACAATGAAAATGAAGCGTTTATAAATATAGACGCATAGCGGTCAATGCATTAGCTTGTGAGTGAGAGCTCACTGATCTGATGTTGGAAGTTGCTTGCTGTATGTTATTTAGGCATCGTTTTTTTATGCCAGGGCTCAGGGTTCTGCCAGTCAGCGCTGGCAGATCGGAGCGGGGAGAGGGGAATCCAGCCCTCCCCCTGTCACGGCAGAGAGCCGTGACAGGATCGAGAGGTGAGCGAACCTGGTATGTGTTCGCTCACCTCCCGATCTACTGAGCCGACCTGTGACAGTCTCATTGTCACAGGTCGGCTAGAACTACGAGGTGAGTGGAAATCACTCATCTCATAGTTCTCCTTTTACTTTTCAAGTGAACGTGGGACAACCCTTTTAAAATTCCCTAAATTCCACCAAGTATGCTATTTAAACATGGCTCACAAGCCAAACCACAGTTCCACCAGTTACGCAGTGGCCCCAATGTCCTGCAGCGCCTTCTACCTGTAATCTTGGATCCTGTGGTAGAGCTGCAGGTGGATGGGACCCAAAGGTGCATAATGCAACTGAACCAGTAGAGTGGGGGTGGAAGGAGAGCAAAGGGGCCTGCGAGCACACCCGCTTTGCTCCAAGGTAAATTGAGTGGAGTTAGCTTTTAATTACAGAGCACAGCCATGCCAAAATAGTTACATGTAGAAATGAAAAGAAGAAGTAATGTATCTAAGATATTATACATATGTGCAAGTATATATATTGTAGGTCTACTGCTGGTCGTACACACACACATTCATTTTTAACCTATTGACTTTTCAATACGATTATTTAACAATCAGGTGCAATCAGAAGCTGTTGGTTGTCTCATTGAAAATGATCACTTTGTGTTTCCTTCGATTATTTGGATCAGCAGGAATTTTTACAAATATTGCCCCTCCCCTTTGAATTGAAATTGATTGAAATACTGTCCAGACACACAATTTCTTGACGCTCACAATTTAAGATTAATTCAGAATATATGATGACCAGTGAAACGTCTTCAAGAAAAATACAGCAAGTCCAGTTGCCTTGACTTATTTTTTTACAGATATATGATGCAAAGTTTACCTTGATCTGCTCAGTGGTCTTCCCTGTGTTTCACAGAACAATTAGAGACCCCTGTCATTACCCAAAGAAATCCTAACAGTTCCCTACATTAGAAACCCATGCTAATGATCAATTCTCTGTTGAAGCACTCTTAGAGCCTTTGCCAGAAACTTCCAGGAGTACTGAAAGCCTGTGCCCCCATCCAATGACCTCTACATCACAGGTATATGTCCTGTAGTCATAAAGGTGCAAAAGCACATCATGCCATATGCATCTGACTGTCTCAGAAATGCCAAATGCTGAAGATTCTAACAGTGCTTGAACAGAATGAAGATCAGCGGCACCGGCTACTGAAGGGGTGAGTACAATACCTCCTTCTTTTGCAAGGAACATTGATGGTACTGATGACTGTCGCTTTAAAAAGGAGAACTATGGGGTTCTATCTTTTTTTTCTTAATGCATTCCTTAGGCTAAATAAGTAAATAATGTAATTTACTCTAATTAGCCAAAATGCACAGTAAGGCTGTAAAACCTTATTTAAGGTGGTGGGCGGGGCTAAGCGCCGCAATGTAAGTCCATATATGGTAAATGATGTCAGCAGGGATCTCCAGTGACATCATTTACCATATATGGATCCGATCACCAGGGATCTCCAGTGACATCATTTACCATATATGGACTTTCCCATTTGTAGTAAATGCTGAAGAGAGAGAGAGAGAGAGAGAGAGAGCTCCTTCCCCTCTGTCAACAGCGATCCACGATCATTTTAGTATGTCAGTGTCAGCAGGGAGAGAGAGGGGGGAAGGAGCTGGCACACGGGGACGTGCAGGTAAGGAGAGAGCTGCTGCGCATGTCCATATATTCGTGGACGTGCAGCAGCTCTCAAGAATCACTGTCAGTCATCAGTGGGGAGGATCCCGTCAGATACGTCGGGATGTCTTCTCATTGCGGCCTTAGCCCCGCCCCACCACCTTAAATAAGGTTTTACAGCCTTACTGTGCATTTTGGCTAATTAGAGTAAATTACATTATTTACTTATTTAGCCTAAGGAATGCATTAAGAAAAAAAGATAGAACCCCATAGTTCTCCTTTAAGGGAGGAAAAAAGGAGTGAATAAAATAACCAGTTCAAAAAAAATGTGATAGAACCATTTGGCAGTGCTCACTGAACCTAAATGAGGATTACCACAGGCATAAGAAAAGTGTCTGAAGCCTTATGTACAAAACAACCTCTCTTCCAACTAGCTCCAGTCACCCCCATGCAAAAAAAAAAGTATCTGAAGGATGAAAAGTACTTGTTGGAAATAGCAACCATTTAGATTCTCATTCACTCACGCAGTGCTGCAAACAAGAAAGTTCGAGTCTGGTTCCCTTTAAAGAAAACATTGTGTATCAAGCCCATAGTATCTAAAATGATGAAATTGCAGAAGTGTTTGAATACCATATAGCTACAGAATATTTAAGGGTCTCATGTCATGACCATTCGTGGGGATAAGGACTCCGGTCAACCAGTAACTACATTAGAAAATCAATGGAGTAAACACTATAAAACATGATTTCATACTTCATTCTTCTACGAAGGTTGTGTAATATTTGGGGTCATTCATAATTAGAACAAGTAAAACAGAGTCAACTTAAGTCATACGTTGATCGTGTACAATTTTTCTATTTTCTGCAATATTATGCAAACTACCCACTGAGGAACTTAAGGCAACCTCCTGAGCCTCCCTATTGGTCCATAAGGCCAAACATTTTAGTGAAGGACCAATAGTAAGGCACACATAGGGGCAGCACTGACTTCACCTTCTAAAGCCAATATTTGCAAATCACAGTGTTCCAAAGTTTGGATCTGTCAGGGAGCTCTATAAAAGGTACAAGTCAAATTAAACAGGTACCTCAAGGTGTATTTATTGGATTTATACTAAATGCTTTAGAACTTTATACCATCATTGGGTTTTTTTTAAAGGATAAGTTCAAATTTTGCAAAAATTAAAGAAATGCATAATTAATAATATATTAAAAATATGCTTTTTCTTTTTAATATTTGCATTCAAGCCTGGAAAGCATTGCAATTGTGCAAAGCTCAGGCTTCTGCATATCTTCAAACTGGCAGAGCTCATACTGAGGTTTGAGGACGGCTGGACGCCGTTTGGAGGTGATTTAATGCAGTTGGTAGTCCTTCCCCCCATCTCTCCTAACTGAAACTCCGTACCCCCGTACGAGCTCTGCCAGATTGAAAATAAACAGAAGCCAGAGCTTTGCAGCGGTGATCGAGTGATCACAATTGGAATGCTTTCCACACTTGAATGCAAATATTAAGGAAATTGATATTTTTTTAAATATATTATTAATTATGCATTTCTTTAATTTTTGCAACAGCTGAACTTATGCTTTAAAACACCAAGCGTGCATAAATCTGAGGTGTACATCAATCCATAAGAAGCAATTCAAATGTATCTTAGATGGGGCAGCTTAAAGTATAACTCCACTTTTGTTTTCTTAAAAAAGGTCCAAAAATTAACAACTCATTCTCCCAATCCGGTGATACCATCTGCATTTTTCATAGGAGCTGGCCATCTTCTGGGCTGAATGGCTGCCAGTACTCCTGGACTAAGTGGTGCGTCATTACATGAGCACTGCTCAGTCCAGCAGGAGGGATGGGAAGAACCTATGACATCACTGGGCTGGCAAGAAGACTGCAGGATTGAAGGTATATATAAAGTTATTTAAAAAATAAAAAATAAACATTGAGTGAAGTGGGGGGCTTGAGTCTCACTTTAATGAAAGATTAATTTCTGATTGGCTGGAATGGACTACTGTACACTGCACCCTTTCTTTTTATTCAATGTATCACTCCCCAAATTCAAGCACAAGCTTAAAAGTTAATACGTATTTTAGTTACTTAAAATGTAATAAAATCCACAAATAAGCTAAATATACCCATCACCGGGCGACAAGACTTGGCGATGACTCTTCCTCATTTGTGGTCCATGTCGAAGTTTCATGTAGTGAAGTCTCCTTTGTTTTTAAAGCTCTATGTTATTGTGGTAATATTGTAGTGTATGTTCCATAAAACAACCACAATAAGTATAATATCCAATGACACACTATAAAGATCGAAGACTTTCACATGCAGACGGACAAGCCATGTAGCTTCAGAAGACACAAGCAACATAAGGGTAAGTAGAAGGTCTGTGATCTGAAGTTGTAGTCCCTTGATGGTTAAGATTAAGTATACAGTCAGTCATTTAAATGTGTGACATTCATCCTTGTGCTACAATTTCTGAATCATCACCTGGAATTTACCTATAAAAGAAAGAAAACATGATTATTGATACGCTCCCGCATTCTGATGTATAATTATAATAAACTCAACATCTGCCTATGAATATTATGGAACTGTCGTGTGAGCACTGTTGTATAATCCTGGTGAGGTGATGCAGAGCACTGGTGTCCAACCAGTTTAACATTTGAAATAATGGCACTTAATGATTATCATTATTATCCAGCTCTGCCATTACACTGCTAATGATTTATGCAGAATGGTGATGAAGACCACACGTCACTCAATTGACTGCTGTATTCATAAGTCAGTTAAAATGAAAATTGGCCAGCACCTAAAGATGACTGCGCTTATGTTTAGAGCCAGTTCTCGAACTATAGAATGCCCCAAAACACTCCATTAAAGCTTTAGTCCACCCTAAGGTCTCATTCACATGAGAAAAAGCCGGCACGTACAGCTCCGTACTGTGTGCACGGCCGTATCGAGCAGCTCCCAGGAAGGACAGCTGCTGCGTGCGATTAGTACGCAGCCACTGTCCCTCTCTATGGGAGTACGTGGCCGTACGCCGCCCTACGCTACCCCCAAGTGCAGGTCCGTGCGGGTGTCCTGGCGTGGCGGTTCCCTGCAGGGATTCCCCCCCTCCCCTGTCCGAACCTCCAGCGCTGAATGGCGGAACGGACGGGGGAGGGGGCGGGTACAGCAGGCTCTGCCTCTAGATAGGCAGAGCCAGCTGTCACTCACGCAGCTGGGTGGATCCAGACAGTATTGTCGAGATCCGTCCCGGCTGCGGCATCTCAGTATACCACAAGCTGTAGCTCGCGGTATACTGAGCTTTGGGTGATTGGAGGACGCTAGTTTGTGTCCTCCCGTTACCCTTAGGAGAACTATGGGGAAAAGCCATGACCTCATAGTTCTCCTTTAAAGGTTTTAGAAGCATTGTATGTTAATGAAAAGAAGCTCAGAGTGCTCCTATTATTTCTATGGAGACAGGCAGTTGCCCGTCACTTTGAAATTGAGAAGTAGAGAAGTTCCAAAGGTCTCCTACACAGACACAAGGTATGACATATTTAAAAAAAAAAAAAAGATACACATTTGTCAGTATGCTGTGTGAATAAATACACATAACAAATATAGAGGGCTTTTCTGAAATTTGACTGAAAAAGTGGAAATGTACTTCAATTGTTTTCAAAGACGGATCGTGAGTATTAAAATGCCTCCCTGCTTCTTAACAATTAATTTGCAGATAGGTTACATTTAAAGACCTTTCAGCTAGAGCGATTTTGTTCAAACAATACTTTAAAAATAGATAGTTTTGAATAAGCATACTCACAAGCTGGCATTACTGAGACTTCCGCTGTTACAATGCTTCTTATTCCTAAATTAGATAATCCTCCTCGGATTAATCCGCAAGTAAACGCCAAATACTGCAAGAGGTAATATGACAGTTAGATGAGCCATTGTACAGATTTTCCTTAAAGAGGCCCGTCTCCAGACCATTCATTAACAAAAACCTTCCCGTAAGATTATGCACTGCCCAGCAAAAAAAAAAAGAGTCATCACCTGGATTTCGGGTAGTGTTATGATCTGGGGTTGCTTCAGTTGGTCAGGTCTTGGTTTAGCAACGTTATGTCCCCCCAAAAAATGAGGTCAGCTGCCTACCTGAATATACTGAGGGCTTGTTCACACCAAGCGCGTTCCAGGAGCAGAGCAGAGCAGTTACAGACCGGATCAAAACTGCGTCCAATGTATTCTCATGGTATTTTGGGCTCTAGTTCACACCGCAGTGTTCAGTTCCAGAGCATGTAAAAAAACTGCTCTGGAACGCATCAAAAACGCATGCAAACCCACTGGAATGCACTGAAAGCCAATTTTAAACTAAAGCAAAACAAACAAAAAAACACACTGCACTGCGTGTGCAGAAACTCATGCAGATCTGGTCTGCATTTGGTGTGAACAAGCCCTATATGACCAGGTTTTTCCATCAAATGGATTTTTTCTTCCCTGATGGCACGGCATATTCCAAGATGACAATGACAGGATTCATCGGGCCCAAATTGTAAAATAGAGGTTCAAGGAGCATGAGACATCATTTTTACACATGGATTGGCCACCACAAAATCCCTTAAACCTTAACCTTATTGTAAATCTTTGGGATGGGCTGGAGAAGACTTTACACAGAGGTCCGACTCTCCCATCATCACTACAAGATCCTGGTGAAAAATGATTGCAACTCTGAATGGAAACAAATTATGTCATGGTGAATGCGTACCGTAATGGAAGCTAAAGGTGGTCCAATTAAATATTAGAGTGTGCGACTCCCAGAGGCAGATGCATGATGAGATTTGTATTTTCTGCATAGATAGAGGAACAGAGTTTGCCTACCCCTGTTCTATAGTACTCCTGTCCGAACTGCTGCATAAAAGGTTATATAGGGATAATAGAGGGGCAGAGGTGCTGAACCAGCAAAGACAGTAATTAGATACTCAGAAGACGAGACATCTATGGACATGCAAAGAGGGAAGGGGGGAGAGCTAAGGAACCAACTCCTCCTGGAATAGTCACACTCTTTAGCAGTTCAAAAAGCACATTGCAAGTGAATAAAAAGTTTACGGAAAAGAAAATGATTGCAAGTAAGTTTTTCCAAATTCTTGATTTGTGTGTGCTTTTACCAGCAATTTAACTTGGTGACAAGTCTCTTTAATAGATATAAATTGTCACAATGTAAATCACAGGAGTGATGGACATCCTGCTTTAAATATGGAACAATTTGATTGCCATGTAAACTCATCAGGTAAAAGCAACATAATGATCTAATTTACCAACGAATCAAAATACTGTCTTTTCCTCCCCTGAGATGATGTGCATGGTCACATGTCCTGGTCACATTTGCCAGAGTTCCAGGAAATAAAGGGAGATCAATCTACCCTTAGCAAAATGGCCACTGTCTGAAGACTGGGAAAGAAAAGAGAAATAAGGAATGCAAAGAATACAAAGCCGGCAATTTTCTAGAAGTATCTGTTTGTAGATTGTCATTACTAAACATCTCTAAAAGGTGTGTTTGTTGTTTTTTCAAAGATATGGGTAAAAGTTGCTCTTTACGTTTTCCAAAGAAAAGTAGAAAACGGCTAAATATATCTTCTGAGCTGCAAAAAAGATCCATTGCCCGAGTGCTGACAATGTAAAGTTTTTAAAAGCCTAAATGGTATGTTGATTAAAGTTGACCTGGATGTAAAAAGTGGAGATTTGCTATGTTTTAGAGAAGATTTGGAAATATTGATTGTCCCCAAGCAGTATGCTAAAAATTCAACTTTTTGTCTTAAATTCCTCTGGAAAAACAGCCCTACAACGTCTTGGTATGTGAGGGTTCCTAGGCACTCCTGTGTCTACAGCCTCATAGCAGTATATCTGCAGTGTGACATCTAAGGCACTGCTGCCTCCGACTTCTAGTTTCAGGATATTTAGAATGAGATTTGGTGATGCCACTACTGTGCTGCTCACTGTTCCGTTTGCTGGAGGCTCTGACATGAGGAAGCAAAGCCCTGCCTCTACCAAGATGTCCGCCTCCATACAGTGACACAGTGCAGAGCCAGGAATGGTAAGTCAGTACTGGTATAAAGATCAGTTGCAGGAAGACCACAGGCAAAACTGGTCACTACTCCCTTGCCCTCCACCTGTCTTTGTTGACAGTTCTACAGTGCAGATTCTAAAAAAAAAAAAAAAAAAAACCCAATCCTATTTAGTTTTTTTGGGCCTAGTAAAAAAAAAAAAAAAAAAAGCCCAATTCCATTTAGTCTTCTTGGGCCTAGTAGACAACCAGTCTACTTGAAAGCCTGGAGGGAGGTGGCTTCCATTAGGGCCTATAGAGAATAAGTCAAGGATGCATGCAACGTCATGGCCACACTGACTTGAAGAGGACAGGACACCACCCAACCTGGTCTAGGCCACAAATTCAACATTGGGTCACCAGCTGATCTCATGGCATGGGAAGGGTGAGAGGAAGCTACTGCTTATCATAGTTGGAAGTATAGCTATGATTTAATACTACAGCATTTATGTTTCTTTGTACTCATTCATTGTTGAGTGCGCCTTCCTAACAAAGGTAATACCATTAAAAGGAACATCATGTACATATTGTAAACTGTACTCAGTACAACGCTGCAGTCTGAAAAAATAGTTGAGCATCTCTTGCACAAAAATGATTTCCTTTTCAGCATGGAATGTATTCCCCATATCAAACTGCTAACCTAAGCATAAAGAGCCCGGCTCAAAGTGAACCTAACCTAGCCTAAAATATTTCATAGTATCCAACAGTGCCGCCACCTTCCGATACTTGCAAGTAGCTGTGTGGATGAAACCTTGTGTCCCTGTGTAGCCCATTAATCTGCTGTTTCTCCATTCATTGTCCAGTCATAGGATAGGGTAAGGGACCTGTAAGTTGAAGTCAAACTGCATCAGGGATCAGGTTCCCTCCTTTACCAGGCTGAGCTGTGTAAATGCCAGGACTGCACGGACATAAACACAAATCCTTTGGCAGGTAAAACAGCTCTCATATACGGATTTCATCTGTATGTTCAGCTGTCAGTCTAGAGTTCGGCTTTAAATTGTACCTTAAACTTAAAAATCGACCCGATTCCAAAGACACGGTGTATCGGGAGCCATTTTCAATATCGTACTGTTGCTCAACAGAAAACACAACTATTAATCAGCAGTAATAAAGGTGAGACACAAAAAGTTGCCGAGTACAAAGATTACAAATAAGACGTGTAGCATTTACTAAGCACAGACTAATCAGACCTGAAATGACCTTTACCTTAGGTGCATGTTCCATATACTGTTTTCCTGCAGACATTTGCGTTATGAGACGGAATTTGTTGTCCTGAAGCACATAGATTCCCTATGACAAAGTGTAATGATGAGCGGAGATATACCACAAGGACACACAAACAGTATACAACCTGCGAGAAATTATTAGAGTGGAAGAAGTATGGGCCTATATGAGAGAACAATTAGTGCAAGTCACATGGTACTGTAATATTCATTCCACCACTGAGTATATTAGATTAAAATTACTGAGGCTCCAGAATGCCATAGTACAGGGATAGGGAACCTCGGCACTCCAGCTGTACTGAAATTACAAATCCTATCATACCTCTGCCTCTAGGAGTCATGCCTGTGGCTGTCAAGAGTCTTGCAAAGCTTCATGGGGCTTGTAGTTTGACAGCAGCGAGTGCCAAGGTTGCCTAACCCTGTCATATTACAACAGCTGGAGTGCTGAGGTTGCCTACCCCTGTCATAGTACAACAGCTGGACTGCTGAGGTTGCCTATGTTTTTGGAGACATCAGCAGTGTAACTACTTCAATTTAATTGATATTTTAGCCTCTTGCAGTCTACTGTACCGTCTGTACAGCAGAGCTCATAGAGGGGGAGGGAGAAGCAACACAAGGTGCCAATCAGATGTGCTGCAGTGCAAGGAGCATGCCAACAGAAGAGACCAGAGTAAAAGATGAGCTCATCAGTCTGCTGCTTCTCCTTTCATTTTGTGGTCACGAAGTTTGGGTGGAGAGGAGACCTGTAAGTGAAAGTGTAACTGCAGCGGAAAAAGATCAGACCCCTTTCTTACTAAACAGGGCTGTGCTGCGGGGCAGAGCTGTGTAAATTCCAGGACTTGATGGGCAGAAATCCAAATAAATTATCAGGAAAAACAACTCTCATATATGTATTTTATCTGTGTAGCAGTTTGCTTGGGAATACAGCTTCAAATGGCTACATTAGGAATGTCTGATCCCCTTGCTGCTACCACAGTGTCTGGAAAGTTTAGAATGAGGCTGTTATATGTGCGCAAATATCAGCACTTGGGTTTTCCACTTGTGTATGACGTCGCTTGTTACCCAGCCGGAGCATGAAATGTGTACTCTTCCAGTCTAAGCAAACAGACAGAGCTCATAGCAGAGAATTACCCAACAAGGATGAGTGTTGGCCCTTGTGTCTCACCTGGTGATTGGTCCGCAGGTTATCAATTTGTTTTCTGAATACTGTAGTCCAGAAGTCTTTGCAGACAAACTTCATGATGTCTAATTCATCTTTGAACCTTGCGGTGTCTTTGGTAAACCTGATAGGAAGGAACAGTGGATTCATTTTAGCAATACATATTTCTGGATGGGAGCAAGGAGCACTGGATGTAACAGTTTGATCGTACACTGAAATGAGAAGCATATACATTTTTATCCCTCAGCTGGAAAACATTTCAGCAGAAGTATAAACCACAACCTCAGAGTTCTTAGTAGAGTTGTGGAAGCAGAACTGCTGTTTTTTCCCTGAATCAATCATTGTTGACACTATGCAAACAGACACTTTCAAATGTGCCGAGACTTCATTACTAAAATATGATAATTATATGTTCTTACAGGCAGCCTATTCCAGCCTTGTGAGATCCCATCAGAAAAATATAAAGCACTTTGCTTTCTAATATGACAATACATAAAACAATCAGTGCTTCTAGCTTGAAACTTTGAATCTAAATAATTATATTAGTTGTTCAGACACTGTGCTAGTTATAGATAAGGATGGGATCGGGCGTGTTCGCAGCTCCATGTGCCGAGCCAGCCAGCCAGCAAGCTGACAGCACCAATCACAGGTACTGAGACATTTTCCCGGTCCGCAGCTGCAGAAATCGGGAAATGTCTCAGTGCCTGTGATAAAGAGACCCAGTCACGCTTGTGCTTTGTTCCTATTAAAAATGCCAATTCCACCAAAAGCTAACTATAGGCGGGGGGGGGGAACTAATACGCCATTTTACTTATAAACCTTGCCAACCTCATAGGTACATTAAATGGTTAGGCTATGTTAAACTGATATTCCAGTTTCTGGTGGATATTAGATAGTGTCAGGGGCGTACCCATAATGAGGCAGCATGAGGCAGTAGCTGGGCCGACTAACAGCCCCTGAATCTCCTCGCCCGACACCTCGGCAGGCCACTGTCTCCCACACAGGCTTAACACACCGCTCCCCCCTTCTCCTGGCCGCCTCAGGCAGCGAATAACGTAGGGACAGCCCTGAATAGGGAAACCACCTACCCTAAGTTTCTCGGGGACTCTATTGGTGAGATTGCTTCTCTTGAGTTCCTGGATCTGCACACCGGTTGCAGACATTCTGAAGAGTCCCCACTTCCCTTGTTGGACTGTTTTATTCTTTTAAAGTATAGAAAATGTAACAAGAGAAGCTGCTGGAACATAGAGAAGTGAATGGGCACAGAAGCCACGGGGGGTGGGGGCACACAGATTTGGGGTAAATGGTAGTGGGATCTCATTGTTGGGGAATCTATGACGTATAGAACAAGACAAGTGGGCAAGCACCAAGTTGGGATATCTGATAAAGAGATCTTACCTTTGGAGTATCCAAGACGTATATGAGAAGCCATGAGCTAACAACCCAACCAGAATCCATTACTAAAAGATCACTTTTAGGTGGATTTACACATTAAAACGTCAGCAGGTTCGGAAAAAATTAATCATCCAATTTAACCCCATTGTGACCACTTGCATACATAGAACGTCATTGGCAGCGGTCCCGTTTAAACAGACTCCCAGCGACTACTTGGTTTACAATTGTAAAGCCGGCTGCTAGCTTTACAATAGAAGTGATTCTGGCGGCTCAACTGCAGCCAAATCGCTTCTATGGACCAGTAAAGTGCCCGCCCTTCCCCCTGGCATGTTTCCTGGGGTTCGCTGCCCCAGGACTGGCATGACGTGCAACATATAATTTTGCAAGTGCCACCATTTTATTCTACAGGGTGTTGGTGTTGGAAATGTGGATTATATCATGTGTGCAAAAAAAACGAAAAAAAGGCCATGGCAGCAAAAGGGTCCTCATGGGGTTAATTATGTTTAAAAGATGTCAAATCAGTGCTTACCTCTCTATCAATCCCTGCCCAACACGAAACCCCATGCTCTCCAACTTAGTGATGCACCTTCCATTCTCCTGCAAGAGAAAACATTGTAGATAAAACCTATGTACACAAAAAAAAAAAGATATTTAAAAGACATGCAATCTTCGAATGGACATTTTTTAAATCTGTTATACACATTATGGCCAAAGGTTTGTGGACACCTGACCATGGCCCCTACATATGGCCAAACGTATGTGGACACCCCTCCAAATAATTGTGTTTAGATGTTTCAAGTGAAGGGTACACTAAATGTTACGTGTACACAAAGACTTTTTAGGCAATTGTGGGCTTCCAGTCTGGTGGCAACAGTTTGGGGAAGTCCCAGAGAATGGCTGTGATGCTGTGCACAAAGCCTGGCCCATAAAGTCATAGTTTGTCTAGCTTGTTGTGGAGGAACCTGAGTGACCTACACAGAGCCCTGACCTGAACCCTATTGAACATCTTTGGGATGATCACAAGCCAGGTCTTCTCCTCCTGTATAAGTACCTGACCCCACAAATGCTCTTTTGGCTGAATGAGCTCAAATTCCCAAAAGGCATGCCAACATATTGTGGAAAACCCTCCCAGAAGACTGGAGGCTGTTAAGCCTCAAATGGGGAATGCACTCCATATTTATGCCCATAATATGGTTTTGGAATCGAATGTCCGACAAGCTCATATAGCTTTAAAAGGTCAGGTGTCCACAAACTTTGGCCCCACAGTGTATATACACACACGTGGATCAGTATATATTTCAAAGTGCCACCTAAATTAGGACCCGGAGACTGCCAGATGACCGCGCTCGGAGCGCCGCACACCGGAGCAGCAGTGACGCGACGCTCGGCGAGGTAAGTAAGAAGACGCGCTGGCGCTGACTCGAGTATAAGCCGAGGGGGCACTTTTCACCCAAAAAAATGGGCTGAAAATCTCGGCTTATACTCGAGTATATACGGTAGAAGATACAAGAACTGACCACATATAAAAAGAGAAGAAATACTATTGCTACATTTTATTCTACCTAATGTTGTGTTTACTCGGCAAGCCTAAAAAACCAGCGACCTTCACAGCCCATTTAATTGCATGTGCTATTATTATGCCTTCTAAAGCAGTGCGTCTCAACCTTTTTTCAGTTATGCACCCTTTAAAAGTATGCACAATCTCTAGGCACCCCAGTCTAAATTGGAGATTGAACTGTGTGTGTGGCCTCTCTAAAATCCGTGCCAGACCCTTATCCCAGATGGGGACCAGGTATGGATTTTAAGGGGAGGCCCCGTACAAAAACCCTACCATGACAGCAGGGGCCACAGCTGCAGGAAGCAGAGCAGCCCTAGATGGAGGAAAACATCTGTCCTTTTCTAAATGTATCCTACCCTGCCTGGAGCAACGTCATTAGTTCCCAGGGTACTGGCGGCAGACATGTCTGCACCATGGAATAGCATAATTCTTATTATTATACAGGATTTATATAGCACCAACAGTTTGTGCAGCGCTTTACAATATAGGGAATACATTACAATCACAATATAATTCAAGACAAGATGGTAAGGAGGGTCCTGCTCGTGAGGGCTTACAATCTAAAAGGGAGGGGCCAGTGATACATGAGGAGGTAGCTGTGTGGGAATGAATTGTATGAGAACGTGATAGTTCAGTGGTTAGTTTGAGGTGGGATAGGCTCCCCTAAAGAGATGAGTCTTAAGGGAATGCTTAAAGGCAGTCAGAGTAGGAGATAGTCACACAGGATGGGGTAAAGTGTTCCACAGGATGGGAGAGACTCTAGAGAAGTCAGGCTGCTGTAAACAAAGCAAGCAGAGTCCTGTCTTCCATTAAGAAGGGAATGTATTAGTCACAGCAGTTCGGATGACCCTACTCCCGAAATTTTTATACCATGCAAGAGTCCTCCCTATCCCCATCCCCTCCTACCGTCTTAGACAATTGCAACGACGTATACTACGTTTTATATGGAATGGATCGATCCCGAGGGTCTCCCAGCTGGTTCTATATAGGAGCAAGGCGAGGGGAGGTCTGGGACTTCCCTCTTTCCACAAATATTACCAGGCTGCTCAGTTAACCCCTTTGACATGTTGGTTTCAGAAAGGTGAAATGCCGCTGTGGGTCTCATTGGAAGCCTATGCTTGCTCCCCAGTAGCCCTCCTCAATCTCCCCTGGTTGCCCCCCAAAATAGGCAGGTCCGTGAATAACCCAATTCTCACACACACTCTAAAAATATGGGACGGATTGCGCCGTCACTTAGGTTGGGTGTCCCCTCATTTACCACTGATGTCCATCCATGGTAACCCAATGTTCCAGCCAGGCTATACTGACCCAGCCGCTTATGCTCATTGGCGTGTCAAATCTCTAAGCTTACTTACAGATTTCTGTTCGGGGACGGGAATTATTACGTTTCCAGAAATCCAAGCCAAACATCGACTGACCCCACGACACACCTTCCAGTTTTTGCAAATTAAACATTTTATTCAAACTCAATTAGACAAGTCATCCCCCCCTCCATCCCTTACCCCATTTGAAGAATTCCTAATTAACGACACTAAGACGACAGGACCTATTTCAGCCCTGTACACTCTGATACTTGAACCCCTACAAACTTCCCTCCCACCCTACACATCCAAATGGGAACAAGACCTGAGTTGTTCTATCCCTGCAGAAACATGGTCCCAAATTTGGATGACAATCTCTCGGAGCTCAGCAAATGTCCAGGCAATTGAAGCCAATTATAAGTTGCTCCTTCGGTGGTATTTGGTACCCATCAGGATCTCCAAAGCCATTCCGTCCTATTCACCAAATTGTTTCAGGGGTTGCCGGGTGGAGGGATCGGTTCATCACATTTGGTGGACTTGCCCCAAAGTGCGGAGATTTTGGCATAGAGTATACCAACTGTTGTACACAGTTACAGGCAAGACATTTCGCAAAGATCCCTTGGAAGCCTTATTACATAAGAAACCATCGGTATGTACTGCTCGGCAACACCGTCTGGTTACATTTATACTTACAGAGGCCAAAAGGGTGATTGCGAGGGCTTGGAGATCCCCCGACATACCATTTGCGGAGGTTAAGCGTAGAGTATCGAGAGTGATGTTCTTCGAGAAGCTAACGGCTCTCCAGAGGGATACTTTGGTGTCATTCCGGAAATTATGGGAACCTTGGATTGAGTCTTACCATCCTCCCTCCTTTGATATGGACTCCTTGATCCTCTGATTGTATCGTAACGGAAGCTCTAAACAATAGATTCTCCCTAACTATCCCATCCCTACTGATCCATTCCACATGCCACCCCCCTCCCCCAATACCCCTTATCACTGTCTGCAAAACCAGTTGCTCTGAATTTATCCTTTGAACCTTATAGTCTCTTACCACAATGTTTTTGTACCTACGCAGTTTACGTTATGTCCTTCTGGATTACCTAATCTGATTGTAGCATTTTATTATGAACAACTGAATGTCGTATGTTCTTTTGATACACCATGGAAAACCACATTGAATGGGCTATTGTAATAATCTTTCTTTGTTCTGCAAAACCAGTTGCTCTGAATTTATCCTTTGAACCTTATAGTCTCTTACCACAATGTTTTTGTACCTACGCAGTTTACGTTATGTCCTTCTGGATTACCTAATCTGATTGTAGCATTTTATTATGAACAACTGAATGTCGTATGTTCTTTTGATACACCATGGAAAACCACATTGAATGTGCTATTGTAATAATCTTTCTTTGTGTTTAAAACAAATAAAAAACCTTTTGAACGAAAAAGAAGGGAATGTATTGCAGGGACAAGTCTATAATTTTGCCACTTTACAGATCACTAGTTCGGCCACATCTGGAGTACGCGGTCCAGTTTTGGTCACCGATACTCAGAAAGGATGTCCTTGAGCTGGAAAAAGTCCAGCGGAGGGCAACCAAACTCATTAAGGGGTTCGAGGACCTGAGCTATGAAACAAGGTTGCTAAAATTAAATATGTTCTCTTTGGAGGTTAGAAGATTAAGGGGGGGCATGATTTTCATGTATAAACTATTCAAGGGTGACAGCAACATTTTGAACAAACTGTTTACGGCTGGCTCCGTAACAAAGACCAGAGGGTTAGCTCCGTAACAAAGACCAGAGCGCACAACCAAAAATTGGTGGAAAAAAAATTTCAACACACAGGGTGAAAGGTGTTCTTCACAGTCAGAGCGGTTAAGGTCTGGAACTCGCTGCTGCAGGAAGTGATTTCAGCTAAGAGTGTGGAATCATTCAAGAAACTGCTGGACGAGTTCCTTGGAGACCATAATATACAGGGGTACAGGTACTCCTAAGAGCAAAATCATACATGGACACATACACACTCACACTCCAACTCAAACATAAATGCACAATGCACACACACAATAGGTTGGACTTGATGGACTTATGTCTTTATTCAACCTCAAAGAGAAATTATGTTTGAAATTTGCAATCATAATTTACAATCTGAAAGCAACTGGAACATCATGTTGTCCCCAAAAAGGTCACTTTATCTGTAATGACATGCTTTGCCTGGTTTTCCATATTTAACCCACTTTATCCTTAATTAAAAAAAAAGTCTGGAATA